ACCAATTTTTACCTCCCTGTCCCTCCAGACCATAATCCAAATGCAGTTATTATCAATCAAATTATAACCAAAGCCAAAATGGATGTAAAATAACTCAAGCATATCTCTCACAATTTACAATTCCTATCTCAACAAATAAGGGATGAGGTAATAATATACAGATGCTTCTTGAATGTCTATAACATTAGCAACAAAACAGTGTAGACCAAGTCCATGAATGATAAAATGGAACTCAAGCCTATTTATGCAAAAATAAAACAAAATATTGATCTAAAAGCTTAACCTATTAGATAAGATTACATGGACATAATTTAAATATTATCTTCAATACACCTCCTCACGTGTAGATGGGATTCGTTTTCCCCCATTAAAGCTTAACACATTAAATGGATAGTGACGAGACATAAACCCAGGACATTTGATGCTTTGTACCCATGTTACACCTATTTATCTAAAAGTTTAAGCAGTTAGGTAGGGCCACGTGTATATCATTTAAATATTATCTCCAACAAAACAAAAGAAATGGAAGATCATTTTGCCCAGTTCTATTGCCTCAAAGCTTATGTAGGTGAATAATAGAGTACAGTGACAAAAATTAATCCCAGATTGCAGTTTTGCATACATCAAGATCAAATATGGATGAGATAATACAATCAAAAGGTTTGAATATCTTAACATGAGTAGCAATGTGTAAGGCAAGACTGACCAACGGCATAAAAATAGTAGTCTATTCACACTACACAAAGAAGTTTGAATAACAAACGAGAGGCTGTTACACAAATCAAATCAGGCAAAGCTTTAGATAGACGGGTGACAGTACATTGTAAAATGAAATAAATATATACATCGGTTTGTAGCATTACTTACATCAAGACTAATAACAAGTACAAAAAATGCTCTATCATAGAAGCAGCAAGCATTGATTACATGTCCAAGGGGAAAAGGAAGGATATTCATCTACAATGTGTTTCTAGCTGAAAAAATGAATCTGCTGCATAAAGGTATAATGACACACGGGCTGGTATGTTTTGGTACGAAAAATTGTAGAGCAGGATGGCTGCATAGAGGTGAGTCCAAGAATTCGAAAAGATTTAATTCTTACAGCGGATATATAGATTGAATTTGCACATCTGCTGGGAACAACTTGCACTCTTCAATATATGCGCTTGTTTCTCAGCTATGGCATCTATTAATTGTATGTCTCCTGCCACCTGCTCATCAACACTGATAAACATAAGATCAAAAAGATTAGCTTCGAAATCAAATCGAAAAGTGAACAATGTCAAATGTTGAAGCATCAATTACTTATCGACTTTATATTAAGAATAAAATATTCACCTCCATTCAGGATTGTCAACATAGATGCTTGCCTCTGCAAGATTTACAATAAGACGAAGAATTCCGGTTCGATCTTCATAGCGTTCTCGTCCCTGCAATAAAAGCATAGAGTAAGTCGTATTAATGCGAAAAGTTCTTTAATTTCAAGCTCTTTTGACTCATGCAGATCCAATGTTCAATAAAATATATCTAGCTATTAGAAGTGCATGTTTCGGTAGCATTATAATTCCTTATAATTTAACCATCAAATTCAAATGTTAATTATAACTATACAGTTTGTAGGACTATAAATACTACCCACTTATCCACAACTCATTTCTATCACATTATCATTTCAGCAACTTATAATATTATCAAAAAAAGCACTAAATTTATGCATCTAAGTTATTATAAATCAAAATAAGAGAAAATAAAAGTATATTTCACTTGCAATTCAATAGAGAAATACCCATTTAATGAACTAAATACCAGCGAGAACACCACCAAACTCTGCTACATCTGCATGTTATTTATTCTTTTTTATTTACCATACGGAATCATCATCCTCAGCAAAACCAAAATAAATATCATCAAAATATATCAATTTTATTGATTTAAACCAACAGAGAGCAATCCCAGTCCTCTAACGAGTGGGAACTTTAGTTATATTACAGACCCTTGTGGAGAGAGAAAATATCACCACTGAAACTGAAGGAGATGTCAGAGCAGGCAAAAGAAAAGAAATGAGAGGAAATGAAAAACAAAGAAATACTTTTTCCTGCTTGATGTTTGGCAGTAAACCTCAACATTTGAAAATTAAAACTTTTTTCAAGATTTTGAAAAGGTTATATGACTTAAGGCAGCAACATTGATGTTATCACATCAAGTTTTGAGGCAAAATGGAAGTACTTGAGCCGACCAAAATCAAAAGATTTCTATTTCAAAAATCTGTGAAATTGAACACACATAGTTGTATTTCTGTAAAATAATACTCCCAATGCATTCCTTTATTTGAGTCACAACTCTTAGAGCCTGTTTGACGAAGATATTTTGAGAGTTTTTTGGTAAAAAATGATTTTTCTATAGAATGTATGGTTAAAAGGTGGAGAAAAGTCATGATACACTCGCAAAATTATTTTACTGGAATAACATGTGGTTGAAAATGAGTTTGGAGAAAATGAGTTTCAAAGAATATGTAGTGCGTCTATGGTAGTAGTAATACCATAGGCTTATTCTCTTTCCATTCCTTCCCCCCAAACACAAATGGTATTCATGAAAAACATTAGAATGCTAATTAAAATTCAGATTTCAAACTCACTTGTGTAGCTTCTCCGTCTATGGTAGTAGTATTCCCCAGAAATTTAGCAATCTCAGCCAAATCTATCAGAAAGGTGTTAATCTCATGTTAAACATGTGTATTCAAGCTGAGGTAAAAGAATTTACCCATGGACATCCGCAAACCACAAAATGAAACTGGAAAATACGAAACTGCAAAAAAGCATATATCGCTCTTTTCAGCATAAACTGACTTTCATTACTGGTGATCGTTAAAAAAATCTAAATCAAACAAAAATTCCACAAAAAAATTGCATAAATAGCAAGGAAATGTAAAAGGGTGTAAAACGGGATTTAGAGTCAGCAATACATTGAATCCGAGATGTTTCCTCGTCACGATCCACGCCATCCCCCTGCAGATTTTGCTCTGAAAACGGGGATTTATCACCCAATAATCGGCAAAATTGACACCAAATAAATTTAAAAATCAGGAAAGTAATTCATCGCACACTATATAGATGAAAAATAACATGGAGAAGAGCCATTAGAGAAGGGCATATCATTCCATGCTGGCACAGAGGAGGGACTGGGCAGGGGTATTGGCTCTTGGGTAATTCAGCATTGCTAATTTCCTCTGTCCTTCTTCCATTTGTTTGGCTGCCATTTCCAAAAATTTCAAATGCTCAATAATTTTATGATTTTAACACTACTATAACACTATGCACATAAAGAATTCAAACTGAGCACCGGGCCAATGGTGCAAAAGACGCGAGTGAGGGTTCGATTCCTCATATGTGGAATTGGACTTTTTATAGGCGTAGATAGTTCTTATTTCCTGACTTGATGAGACACATCCCACTATTTACCTCCCTAAAGACAGGACGATGAGACCCTTAAGGTTCGGATTCAACCTTTATATATACAATTCAAAGTGGTTTTGAGGAGTAATGGCTCTAAAATAATTGTATTCAAAATTGGGTTAATTTCACTTTTTTGGTCAAAGGCTTGGACTTTGATACAGACTGCGTCAACAAACTTATAACAAAAAAAATCTGGTTCGGTCATATAAACCCCAAACCTTGTTTTGGACCGATTTTGCTCGAATTTTTGCTGATTCATTAACCATCCTTCATTTCCAACCAGACCGATCCCTAAACCGGGTCAACAGTTGTTTGATTGGATCCTTTGGTTGGATTTGGGTATTATAATATAACAATACTACGTCACGATGCAAAAAATCATAGAATTTCTCTATTTGTACATAAGCAGCGTTGTCAGACTTTTCACATCGGACCCCTTTTTCCATTGTCCTATAAAAAATTGTAGAGTTATTATTTGGAAATTTGACTACATTTTTTTGTACGCATAGCAAGGCTGAAAACCATATGTTTATGAAGTATTGCTATGAATATAAAGTTTCATCATTTGTTCACAGATTGGAATAATAAATAGATTAATTTTCAAGAAATAGTCAATGAAATTATTTACACGTTTTCTCTGTTAAACTTCCAATGATGCAATATATTTCCAGTAGAAACTTCAGATATAAAAATTTAAGAAGTATATACTATGAGCAGTATAATGCTTGAACGGAAAAAAATTGGAGATGAGACCTGAGGGATGAAGCAAAAATGGAAAACCTACAGATTTTGATAAATAGGCGTGAAAAAGGGGATAAGAGGGTTTTGAAATCTGAATTGACATGACATAATAAGAATTAAGTCTCTAAATTTAGATGTCCTCAATTAAGATTTAAATAAATTTAGAATTTAATTGTCTCCAATTGAAATATTAATAAATTTTATTGAAATCATTTAAAACATAGGATCATCAATAATTAGTAGATTTACAAAAAATCTAATAATAAAGGGATTCTAAAATATTTGGATGAATTTCCAGCATAAAAATACATATAACAAAATCTTTTGAAATTTCACTATTTTTAATGAGATTCTTATGCAATTTATAGAAATCTATTCAAATTTACGAAATTCATTAGAATTTCCACAAAGTTCACGACGATTAGTAAGTATTGTAGGATCTGGTTTTGTTTTTAACACCCTCTTCGTAACCTAACCATCTTTGTATACGTATATGTAGATGTGCTGCCTTGGTGCAAACTGTTGACAGAGGACTTTGACACAATTTACATCATCTATTAGCTACCAGGCAAGAGTAGGTCCTATAACGAGCTGATAAAGAAGAACATTCACTTCGTCAACAATGGTTTAATGGCCTCCCAAGATTAGTTCGAACTGTTTTGCCATATTGGTAGTGTATTTATTTGAGGCCCTAATATAGTATAAGAAGTAAATGCAAGATCTGATGAATGCTAGGAAGAAGCTCACTCCTTAAAAGGAGGAGGAAGAGGATGAAGGGGAGCCCTTGAATAATAAAAAGGAAAATGATTTTGGGTGCCTTATCTCCATAACTAATGTAGGGAGGTCGCTGCCTTGTTCATCTAATATCCCAACTGGGATAGTTATAAAGAGAAACCTTCCGCTTCCTCAAGTGAAGACAACTGCTCATTCTCCTATTCATAAGGCCTCGTATGAGGTCCCTTCATCTGCTTTGTCGAAGCATAAGAGGCAATGGGTCACATAAAGTTGAAATTTCTTGGGTACCAACCTGGAGGAACTTGTGAAGAAGGTGTTTGTGGCGCTATCCACTAAACAATCAGTAACCTTGGTCCACAACAACTACTGGACCAATTCATGGGGGTACCATTCCTTTTCCAGTTGGCGAAGGATCTAGTGTTGGCCAACAATGTCTGTATTGCCCGGGCCCTAGGCACAGTATCCAACTCGAAGGCTTGAAAAGGATCTTTAAGCTAATAATATCGACTTGGCCTAGAGGATGGAGCTACTTAAACTACGGCGATGTTGTGAGTGCGAAGATAGTTAAGGCGGAGGAAGCAGAAATAAAGAGGAGAATAGGCTGGAGAAGGCTAAAGTTGTGGTGGAGCAACTGAAAAAGAGTTGCACATAAATGAATAACAAGTGGCTATCTTAACAAGGTGAGTGAACTATGCGAACGAGCACCATCGCTTACTTATTGAAGCTTTGAAAACCTCAAATAAAGAGAAGCCAGATATGAGGCTGTTGACTGAAGCCCGACCAGAGGAGATTAGGTCTTTGAATGCTAAGGTGAAGAGTGTTGATGAAGTGGTTGTCTAGAATTTCAATGACAACTTTGAGAAGATCGAAATTTACAACACTTGTGCTAATTATCGGGCCACTTAGAATGCTCAGTAGACACTGAAGCACCTTAGAGAGGTCTATCCAGACTTAGATATATATGCTTTTGAGAAGGAGTTTAGGGAACCTACTAGAGGCTAGCCTAACCGTTAAGATGCCGATAAGGTTCAAGATGAGTTTCCAAATGTCGAGGCAAATGAAGAGATATGGAATGGGCCCATTGTGCCAATAGATCCTTAGGCATCATGATTTTGTAATGGCTTCAACCCTCAATGTAAATAATTTTTTAATGAATGAAAGTCATTTTATTTTCAAGTATTGAGGCATCTTCTATTTGACAAGTATTTTGAATGTTTTCCATATTTTATCATTATAAGACCGGGGAGCTGACATTAGCATTACACTTAGTCATTAAATTTGTCAATGCCTTAGCTAATTGTAACTTATTGCCTCATTTTTTACTTAGCATTTCCTCAAGATTATGTGCTAACTTATTATGACTTATCAATTTCTATCACGACCTTTCTCTATGGTAAATGGCTTATCCATGGAAAGCATCCTCTTCAATGGATTAGAGGCAACCCATGTGGAGATGTCACATGCCCTAACTTTTGAAATGGACATCCTTGGAAGATGTGACCTCATTGAAGGTGTACGCACTTCGTCAAGAGCTTTTCCTATAGTGGATGGTTCATTGATGGAGACCATCAACTTCGATGGACTTAAAGGTGACCCGTGTGGGAATGCCACACGTCTCACCTATCAAAGTGGGCATCTTTGGAGAGGTGACCTCGTAAAAGGTGTCAGCCACTTCGTCGAGGGCTTTTCCTATGTTGATGGTTAATCTATAAAGAGCATCATCTTCGATGGACTTAAAGGTGACCCTTGTAAGGGTGCTGCACGCCTAACTTATCGAAGTAAGCATTCTTAGAAGAGGTAACCTCATAAGAGGTATCAAGTACCTTGTCAAAGGCTTTTCTCCATGGTGAATGGTTCATCTATAGAGAGCATCATCTTCGATAGACTCAGAGCTGACCCCTATGAGGATGCCATGCGCCTCTTCTATTGAAGCGGGCATCCTTGAAAGAGGTGACCTTGTGGGAAGTTAAAGCACTTCGTAAAAGGCTTTTCCCATAGTAGATGAACATCAATGGAGAGGAGAAGTAGTGAGGCAGTGGTGGTAATAACTCATTATATTAGTACAAAGATGTTTACGTAAGTACTTCAAAATGATAAACTAATGGTAGTATTTCCTCAAATGCTTCATATTGCAAAGATGAGATAGCAGCTTCTCTTCCATGGTTCTTCCTCGATACGATATGAGTCTTTCCAATTGGGTCCCAATGTACTTGTACTTTACTCTTTTGAATAATAAAAAACCATTCGAAGCAACAGATCATCTGAGCAAAATGACCTTTTCTTTACTTTAGCATTATAGTAATGGATCATTTTTCGTTGGTACATATCGAGCTTCATCTAAAAGGCATCCTTTTCCTTTTTTCAAGGGCTCATACATTCTCAATTCATCATTTATTATTTCATTAAAATGAATGCAATAAGGTGAAGGTATTCCTACCTCCACCAGACTTGTGGCTTTAGCCCCATAAGTTATGGAAAAGGATTTCCCTTGTTGCATTTTTAGCTGGTAGTGCATATAGCCTAAAGAACTTAAAGAAGCTCATCAATTCAAGCTTCTTTCAAAGCATCGAGTTTCCTTTTTAAGGTAATTTTGATGGTTTTGTTAAGAGCTTCTACTTGTCCATTAGCTTGGGGTGATAAGGCGTTAATAAATGCTTTTTGATCCATAGCTTGTTACATAGGTCTAGGATTTTCTTGTTATCGAACTGTTTGCCATTTTTAGATATAATAGAATGGGAAATACTGAATTGACATATTAGGTTCTTCCAAAGAAACTTGGAAGTGTTTGCATCTGTAATCTTGGCCAAAGGTTTTGCTTTAACCATTTTGTGAAGTAGTCAATTGCGATAATGGCAAAGCTAGTGCTTTTTCTTCGTTTGGCAGTGGGCCTATGAAATCAACTCCTTACTTAACAAACAACCAAGGACTAGATACCATTGTGAGCATTTAGGATGGTTGCCTCTATATGTTGGAGAAGTGTTGACACTTGTCTCACTTTTGTATGAATTGAAACATGTACTTTTAGGATGGGCCAATAATATTTCTGCCTAGGCATTTTGTGTGCTAACTTCGACACTCCAGAATGGTTACCACACACTCCTCACAAATCTCCCCTAAGATGTAATTGGCCTCTTTTCCTCCAGTATATCGAACAAATGGGGATGAAAATCCTCTTTTGTATAAGACATCGTCTTGCAAAATAAAATGAACAGCTCTTCTCCAAAGTTTGTTGGCTTCAATTTTATTATTAGGTACGACCTAATCCTTGAGGAAAGAAATAATGGGTTGTATCCAAGGTGGGGTACCCTCAATCTACATCACTTTCTTTCCCTT